TGCCAAATATTTAGCAACAAATGGAATGGACACAGGGTCTACATTAAGCAATTTACAGCAAAGCAAGGCATTTTATTTGGGTCTATGACTCTTTCAAATTACTTAATGTGTGGACCTCTAATGGACCATAAGAACTGCTTATGTTACATGTGAGCAACATGGAGAGCAAGATTACTAGACAAATTTTAATAAATGTGTTTACTGCTCATACAAGTAGCAAAAACTGACTTCAAATAAGTTGTAGATAATCTTAGCATCCATAACTGCATTCTGGGAAATATTTTAACAGTATCCTCAGTGGAGTCTAACCATCAACCTTAGCTACTGAACTCCTGTTATAGTTGAACGAGCATTTCAGGAATTTCCTACAAGCGAGAGAAACGCATTTTCATTGGCTATCCCCAAATACTCCTGAAAAACACTGAAACAATAAGGGTCAGCATTCTTCTAATGGACACAGTAAGTGCTTCACATGCAACATCTCCTTTAATCCCAGCAACTGTATAACGTGAGTATTACCATTAAGTCTATTTACAACCGAGAAAACTGAGGCAGAGAGAAGTTAACTAATTTACCAGAGATGCCAGCTAGTAAACGCTGGATCTGAGATGTGAACCAAGGTGGTCTGATCTGAACCCCAGAGACTGGCAGTCTTAACTGCCATGTTTTAATCCTTGAGTTTGTATACAGTTTGGGCTTCATGAACTCAAAATATTCACGTGATTTCACCAAAAATGGCTCACATACCACAACAGTTAATAAGTGGTAGGTTTTAACTTACTATTGAAACATTTCTCTGATCTCCAACAAATTGCTTTCGTGCTTAACTAGAAAGTTTCCCTTGAGTGGAAATAGAGGATTGAGAAAGAAAGAGTGATAAGGAACCTTAACCTCGAGGACATCCTTTTACTCCCTTCCCCTGGTTAGGGTCTTATCACTTTCTTTTGATTAGCACTTCCTTCCATTTTGCTTTGCAGTATTCATAACACAGGCCTATTTTCTCACCCCCAACACCTGGAGGATCTAAACAAGTCTCACTTCCGTGGGGGAGGTTTCCTTCTAGGTCTTTAAAAAAAAATAATAAACAGGTGTTATTTTTCTCCACGGCTGATTCCTAATGATCCAATGAACTGTTTATTTGAACTGCACCCAAACCACCAACTCATGTGCCTTTATGTTGGGGTTGTGATGGCCCGGCTAAACCAAACTAGGCAATCAGAATTGCCCAAGAGGGCCTGGGATTTTCAGACCCGGGGAGATGGACACATCTGAGTGACTTCTGACAATTGCACCTTTGTAAGAGGTACAGGACAATGAACTGCTCTGAGGTGTATTACCGTGGTCAGAATGCAGGCTACATGTCTCTACATTTTTTAAGCATAAGCGCCTTTCCCCATTTCTACATGGTTTGTTTGGTTCAATGTGCAATTAGGGAAAGAAAGCAACAAAGATATGTTACTTTGTGTAGCCTTAGCATGCAAAACTATGTACAGTTCTTAACTCAGATAATAGCATTCATTGTGAGAAGAAGGCAGCTGTTTCGTTCTGTTTTTTTTTTATAAAGCTCACCATCACTATTTACTAAACTGCATTGTTCCACTCTGATTTTTTTCTAAAAGTAGTGAATAAGCACAACTCTTTTTAAAAAGAATATCCTCTTCAGATTATCAAAGGCTGCAAATCTGTAGAGTCAGATTGGGGGCTTGCTGACCGGTAGCACCAAACGCATACAAGTCCTCACTCATTTGCCCATAACTGAGACTGTTCAGTTGTTTACCAAATAATAACAAACATCACTAAAACTTTCATAGTGTTCTTAGCCCTGTGATTTCAAAGTTTAATGGCACATCTATCCAAAACTGTTACTGTGATAGAGGTTAGATTAACAGGAAAAGTCTAACCATGTCAAATCAGAATTTTTCTAAAAACTAAACTTATACAGGCCAGTTATACAAAGTATGTGCTAATTAGACGATATCTGTATGCTCGCTTTCCTTCTCTCTTCAAACTTTAATTCTTTTCCATGTTTTCCTGGACATTGTTCATGTCGATGTTTGGAAACCAAGACACTCTGGAATAGGGGCCTGACAGTTCACCAAGTCCCTATGCATTTGATGAATTCCAAAAAGCAGGTTATAACATTATAAACAACCTTCTGTGGGCAAAAGATGAAACATCTGAAAATAAATATGCTTGGAAAACAGAACATTCAGTTATTTAAAATCTAGTTTAATTTAGCCAGGTTATTCAGAGACAAAGCACTGAATCTATAAGTGTAAAAATTACCAACTCATGTTCAAGGCACACATCCTCACCCTGTCACTTTGTGGGTGTGGTTATGCTGGGGGTAGAAATCTGGGAAGTAGTGTTAATAAAACAAAGGGGGTATGTCTAAGAAGATGGACTGTGGTCAGATTATGTCTGTGTTTCAAATAGCCAAGAGACAGAATGGTAGACAACTTGTTTATACAACAAAAAGCAGATAGTACAAAATATGTGGCTAATGCGAACTTGAAAGGTGTTTTTTTTTTGCACCATTCCTTTTATACTTCATGATGTATTATAATTGGGTAAACAGAAAACAAATAGTTTAGTGTCAAAGTGTACCCTGGACCTAATTCCAAACCTCTGCAAGTGGGCAAGGTTATAAAATAATTTCAGATATATGATCTCCTCTATAAACCTGAAAATTATGAGTTTAGAAACTATTCCTCTGAGTACAAAACTAAATCTCTGCCACATTAGAAATACAGGTACCAATTTGTTTTTAAACTTGCCAAGAGAGTGATATTTCATGATCCTTCCAGTGTTGCATTCTCATGTCTCAGTGTCCATATAAATTGAAAATATCCTCATATTCTTCCATTCTGCTACAGTAATGGCACCTGCCTTCAGATTAATGAAGGAGGTTAGAAAAAAATGAATCGCCCCTCAGGACTTTTCCTCTCTATGTAATTTATAAACGGTACTCTAGTGAGGTAGGATGACATCCAGGTTAAATTCTGGTTGTAACTCCACCACATACTGGCTGTGGGACCACAGGCAAGTCACTTAGCACACGGCACGTGTTCCTCCCAGCTCTACCCTGTGTGTCTGTTTAGCCTTGCTGGAGGCATTTCATCTTTTCTCTCCCTCCCTCTCTCCCTCTCTCCCTTTCCCTCCCTCTGTACCTCTCTCCCTCTCTCCCTCTCTCCCTCTCTCTCTCTCCTTTTTTTTCCTTTTCTTTCATTTTTATGACTTAAGTGCATTTTATTGGTTTTCTTTATTACTGGAGGCATTTCATTAGAAAGACTTACAGGCATTTCAAAGGAGTGCACATATAAATACAGAATAAATACATATGAACAATGAGAAGATGTGAATGGAATTAACATTAGCTGTATGGCCTACTGGTAATAAGATACTTTTATTATATACTTTCTCTCTCACTCTCTCCTTCAAAAAGAAGGCTGGAAAGATAGAGACCATATTGTTTGTACATTCTTTCTTCCATGAGTTTTTCTATATTCTTTCAGAAAATCTTTAAATGTTCTATTAGGAATGATTTTATTAGGAAAATGTTATTTTCCTAAAGGATATATGTTTTGGGTCCTAGAAGACATATGCTGACTTGGTTACTTTTTTTTTTTTTAACTTTAGAAAACATTCATAAAGCCTTGAATAGACTTGGGCTACAGCTAATGACCTTGACACATATCAGCGCTTACTAACCAATATGAGCTCAACCTATCACCTTGCCCTTCTTATTAGTTCACTGAACTAACCAACCACAGTTAACTTCTCAAGGAAACCTTACTCCCAAGAGTACAGAATATTTGTCTTGCTATTTAGAGAAGCCTTCAGTGCCAATTCTGAATTGCTGAAATAAATCTCAGGGGGAAAAAATTCAGTCTATTTCAAACACTTGAGTAAACTTTGCAAATAAACTCACTTATTTTCTTATAATAATGAGGCATAGAAATTCCTCCAAACTTTGAAAACAGTCATGAAAATACATTCCTCAGGCAAGAATGCCCTCCCTCGCAAAAATTTCTCAGGCAGGCCTTCCGCTATCCTTGTTTTTCATCAGCTTTTGTGATTGGAAAGCACAGCACTGAAATGAGGAGTGAAGCATTATGCTTTCAGAACTGTATAAATTACACTTTTACGGCAACCATAGAAAATTAATTTTGGACGCTACCACGCAATCTGCTTGATTTGTGTTGCTTGCTTTTGGCTTGTATTAGTAAAAGCTTAGTCACATAGCTTCTCCAGCTCTGCTCTATCTGAAGTACAATGCACCACCACTCTACCCCCATCACTGAAAGCCTGCAATAAGAGTCTGATGACTTCATATAAATATTCAGAGATCTCAGTCAAAGTTAATCAAAACATGTATCATAAACGTCTATGTCCAGCAGCCCGCTGGTTGCCCATAGTTTTCTACGGGAGCTGTGGGTAAGCGTTGGTGCCTTTAAAACTCTCTGGACCTATAACTCTGTATGAGTCACAGGTAGGTCAGAAATGATCACTTTTCCCTTTTTAGTCATTTTCAGAGACATCTGTACCAACACAACTGTTGCTTTTTAGAAAAAACACAGCCTCTCTGTGCCATAGCTGCATATAAATAATCAGTTAATACTTGACTTAACATGATAACTCAAAATATTTACTCACAGACAGATCAGATTTGGCCAAGGCATAAAATCAACATCAGCAACATGCATGTATGTAGGCAAGAAGCATGCGGCTTGGAAAGCAGGGCTGATCTTTCCAGGGGCTGATTTGGTAAGGATCGGTCTGGGACACAATGGGGCAGATGGCTGTTAACAGCGTGCAGCCTAGCCTGGCCCTGGCACTCAGATGTCAAAGTAATCCCCATTCTTTTCAAACCCTTCCTTTCAATTTCGAAGCATAACAAATGAATGGAAACACAATGAACAGAAGTCTTTGTTCAGGTAGAGGGTCTGGGAACAACTGGAGAAAATGTACTGCCTAGACAACAAACCACGTGCCCCTACCTGCTGTGACCTCAGAATGGCAGCATCAATCTCCTCCACCTTCTGAGTGATGGTGTCATTCACTAATCGGTAGCGCTCATTGTCCTCGGCCACCATTTTTTCAAGTCCTTCCCTCGCCCTCCATGGTACCAGTTCCAGTAAAGCACTGCTCACTTCGTTAAGGCAATCCAATAAGGCTTTGTTGTTTTTAGCTTCCTTTTTCAGCTCCTGAAAGCAGAATTAAGAAAACATACAAATCTGTGGGTAATGCTTACGTGTTTGAACAGGCGTTTCCTTTAACCGTATTTGGGGCTAAAGTCCTTTGCAGGCTAATAATGCGACACACTGGCCCCCTTAGTTTCAGTTCAGTTCTATACACCTTTGTTATTCAAAGGCATTTTGCAAAAAGGAAAGTGTTTCTTGAAAAATTCCTAAGAACTACTCATTTGTCAACATGGCAAGATTTGATCTTTGAAATTTAATATAAATGTTTAAAAATCGGGAAACAAAATGAAGCAAGTTTACATGTATTACTCTTTGCTTTCTGGTAACCTCTACGTAATCAGGTACCAGAAAAGTAAAATAAAGAGTCAAGTCCAAGGCAGAACCAAGTGACCCTCAAAATGAGGACACACTGGCTGTTTAAATCATCCCAGTTGAATCATTATAGGCCCAGCAAGCCTGACCTCACCGACTCCGTTTCTTTCACATACGATTATACTTCAGGGATGATAAAGAGAGGCCGCTATCTCTGAAAAGAGTGATTAGCATGGTAGAATACCACATTTGCAGTATAATTAAAAGAGCCACATCATGTTATGCATGTGTCTTATAAAAATATTGTTATTCTAACCAAATTATCTCTGGAAACAATGATCCTTTTCCTTTATTTTTTTTTTTCTGTTTTCATCATTCTGTCTCTTGTGTAATAAACTGTACTCCCAACCATAAGACTCCGAAAATTAATTCTAATACAGTGTTTTCATCTCTGAGCTCCTAAAAGTTTAAACAGTTGATCTGCTGCCAGTTCCTGTCAGGTCTCCACCCACCCAGGCCTCCTTCAGCATATGAAAAAGAGCATTTCATCCCTGTGTGAATAAGACTCCCTAGAAGATAACAAACTGATACAAGTGCGTACTTTTTGTCTCACGTGGGCCTGGCTCGCGGCTTCTCCCTTCAGAACCTGAGTTTCGTATGAAAGCAGTTCCACCTCCACTGTGTCCAGCCAGGTGCAGAGTTCCTCGTGTGTGGAGTGCAGCCGCTGTGCGAGCTGCAATGCCTGTTCCAGGGTCTTGGCTACATCCGTGCTCAATTTAGTAATGTCTTTGTACCTTGCTTTAATGGCTTCCAATTTATCTTGAATTATTAAAACTTCATCACCTAAAATTTCAAAGGCATGTTATATTTCATAAAAGGGAAAAAAAAAGGGGGGGAGGGTGTGGGGGAAAGGGTTTCTTCAGACATTATTGTACACTGATGAGATTTTTCAGTGGGTAAAAAAAAAAAAAGGAGATATTTTTCTAAAGAAGTTCTGACTCAAGAGAAGCCCTTTTCTAGGTTTTAATCTTTCCCAGGATTTCTGGCAAATCTAAACTGATCTGAAAATGCAAATATGAAAACTGGAAAGGAGTATAGGGTCTTCAGTTATGCGGAAAGCATCATCTTTGTATCTATCTGTATGGTGTTTTCAGCTCTCCAGCAGAGGGGTTAAAAACTGTCTGGGATCAAATACTGACCTTGTAGTCTAAAAATACTGATTTTGTGTGTTGTTACCTTGCACAAGATACTTAACCTCTCTGTGTCCCTGGTTACTTATCATTACATGAGGATAAGAACTGAACCTACTTCATAAGGATATGATCAAAATTCAATGATTTTACATTTACAAAGCATTTAGAACAGTGCCTGGCATATGTGTATATACATGTGTGTGTGTGTGTATTAAAAATAGTACACTCATCTGCACTATTCCTCTACCTCATTTTCAGACACACAGAGAAATTGTGTCCTGGGCTTCAGAGTCCTAATTTAAGGCTCCAGATACTACTGGGTTTTAGGAAAAGTCATGATGTATTTTTTCTATGTTTTTCGTTGCAAAAATGCATCATGACTTTTCCGACAACCGAATATATTGAATTCCTCCAACCCATAATAAACGGCATTTGTCCCCATCACACACACGTGCTGAACTGGATATAGTTCAGTGAAACTTTCCTATGGCCAAAGGAAAGATTAAAACAAGTTACTTTGTACCCGTTTTCTTAGGAAGTTCAAGCATGAAGACCCAAAGCCTTGGAATAGCCACAGTATGTGTCACCGAATGCAGTCTATCTTAAAATTTAAAAAAAAAAAAAAAAAAAAAAGGTCTACAACCTATGTGCTCATCTGCATCAACTGCCTTCCACACGTGGAAAACTAACATAACTCCACCGTGAGCCTCCCTGACCATATCCTGTGCCCACAGCACTTTGTGTTATGAGTAATACCCCCGACTTCCATTAAGAACTCAAGTGAGATCATGAGAAAAAAAGTGAGATCATATCCCCACCCTTACCCCCATCCCCTTGATCAATCCTTAAAGCCTTCTCCAGAATGAAGTCTTGGAGGGGCCCGCAAATTATGAAGTTTTTATTTTCCCTTATCCCTAAAATATTTTAAAAGCAATGCAAAATGTTCACTCCATGATTATTTAATTTGAAAGATAGCTCACCTGTTGTTTGTTTAAGTAGTTCTAAACCATTTAGCAATGCCTGATCTACACTTTGTTTTCTGAGGAGTATGTCTTCTTGCAGAACCTAAAATGCAGGTACCATTTTTGTGTGTGGGGGGGGAAAATTAAATAAGCGTTAGCATTAGTCAACATCAGAGGACTTTAACTGGGTTTTGTAGAGATATATTTGAGTAAACATCTCACATTTTCAAGTATTCATTATTGTTCCCTGTTTACCCTCTTCTTTCCACCATTGTGGCCCATGTCCCAGGTTCATTTACCATAATCCATAGCACCCTCCTTTTCAGAAAATACATAGGAACCTATGTAAGTGAGCTACTATGTGGAGATACTGGAGTACTGGTTAATTAAGGGTCTTTGTATACAACAATAAAATAGCAAATGAAAAGTGTAAAATCCACCTATTGGATAAATTCAATCTCTTTTTTAAAGCAATTTCATTAAAAGTAATTTGTAGGCAAGGCAAAGTCTATTTTGAGCATAGCGATTTATAAGGAACCTAAATCATAATGAACATAAAAATAATATGGAAATAAAGAAGACTCAGAAAATAATGACAACTGAAATGAAAATAAAATAAAATAAAATAAAATAAATGAAAATACCCGAAGTTCAGACTGTTGCTCCCACAGCCCCTCAGTGCTGTAATCGTGGACTGAGAGCGTGCTCAGTTTGCCATGTACTTCATTCAGCCAATTCATCAGCTCGACTTCATCTTCCCCAAAAATCTTAGCATTACATAAGGCCTGCTGGAGGAGCTCAGACCTGCTGTGACTTTTCTCTTGAATCTCAATGTACCACACTTGAGAGGAGTCTAATTTACTCTGCACCATATCTTTATCCTCCCTGGAGCTCAAAACCTTTAAGGATTGGCCAATGCTAACAGCCTGGTGTAAGAGTTTATTGTGATTGATGATGTCATCTTCTAAGGCCTAAATAAAGTTTAAAAAAAGAGAGAAACAAACAGAATGGGCAAATAAAAATGAAAACATAAACAGAATGAAAGGATGCCATTTGAAGTGGATTTAATGTGCCATTATGCATAACACAACAATAATAGGTAACTCAAATTTATGTCATAAAACCACGAAGGAAATGGAAAACTGAATCTTACGAATGTGTGATGGGTATCTTACTTTGTGCTGTGCAATTTGTTCCTCAAGTTTAGACGCTTGGGTTCCTATGGGCTCACAATTCGCCAGCCTCTTTTCTATGGTTGTAAGCCACTCATTCAGTGGTTCTAAGGTTTCATGAAATTGCTGTGCTACCACCGAGATACCTTCCAACTGACGGTTCCTACAAATGCGCCACGATAAAGGTCATTTAGGGAGAAGAATGTGTGAAATAGTCAACAGAAATCTTCACTTATGCTCCTGCATTCCACTCTAAACCTTTTTTTGTCGATAACATCTAAGTTTAAAATTAAAATCTCTCACATTTAAAGAACAGGTTAATATAGTTCTCCTATTAAATAAAACTAAAATGAAACAACAGACCTACTTCAAGTAGCTGAATCTCATGAAAGTCTTCAGTAACCTAGTTATAATACTTAGAATAATAGTTATAATAATAACAATAGTGATAACAACAGCAGCAGCAGTAATAAGGATAACGATAAAAATAAAGATAATATTTATTGAACACATTTATTAAAAATAAAAAAAAAGAGAGAGGTATCTCCCATGGCAGCCAGTGCACAACGTCCTGGGCATTGCAGAGAAGGAATAATCTACTGGCACATACGAAGGTCAACATGAAACTTTTAGCCTCCTTAGGAGTGCCTCACTTTATGGTCCTAGAACTCCAATTAATTCTACTCCATAATTCAAGATTAGCCAAATCCTTCTTTTTACCATTTTAGCTCGAAAGGAGGTAGGAATTTATAGAAACACTCATTCTGTTCAGTGGTTCATCCACACTTGAGTGGTTCAACTCAACAAGTTGATGTGGCTACACCTCAGTGTAGCTACTACTCAAAACTGGTCAATGTGGTGCCAATAGAGAGAAAGCAAAAAGGTAATGCAGAAACGATCAGCGCCACAGCCCAGTGGGGCTGTGCTCTAGGCTTCCTGGCCTTCATATATGTAATAGCACCCTTCCATTCCACCTGCCTCGTTTCCTAGCTGACTCCTACTCCTCCTTTAAAACATTTTAAAACATAGCTTATCTGTCACTTCCCTGCCCTCAGACTAGATTCTTCCTATTAAATGCTCCCACAGAACCCTGTATTTTTGCTTTGAAACATCACATTTGTCATTACTTTCCAATTCCATAAAACCCTACTAGACAGTACCCTATGGTACAGGTGATAGGTTCAGCTCAGCCGTATAACCCAAAGCCTAGTTCTGTGCCTGATACACAGTAGGTGGGCAATAACTGTGTAATAAATAAGTAAATACATCACCTCCGAGAGAAATGCTTTTCTTAAAACAAAGAGTTGGGATATATCTTGTAGTGACTACAAGACACTAACCACCATTACAAGAATGAGGAAAGACGCACCACAGTCCCTGCTATCTATGTTCACATAGATGACAAACATAAAAAAATAACAAGGAAAGTATTGCCAAAATACAAAATGTTAGTATTAAAACCATTGCTACTCTTTCAAAAAGTTGGAAGTAGTATTTAAGTTACCTCATTTCAGCTTTATTAAGCAAGGCCTCCCATCTACTATCCAAGAGACTCAGCTGTTTCAAAATCTTTACTTTATCTGCAGGTTCTGCTGTGGCAGCAATTTTTTCTCCTTCCCGTTTGATTACCTCCACAGTAGATTTGCGGTCATCCAACAATCTTTGGAGAAGCTTGAGGCAAAACAAAAAATACCCCCCCCAAAAAAGGTCAAAGGAATAATTGTATCAACATAAAAGAAACTACATACTAAGTATTTTTGATATGTGACCAAGATACATATTTTCTATGGATTCTGAAGGAAAAGGATTTGAGAAGTAGGATTTTAAAAATAACTCATTTTGCTTAATGAGTTATTACTATTGTGTCAGACAATGTGGTAGGGAGTTTCAACATAGATAAAACAAACATCGATAAGGCCACTAAATCATTCATTATTCATTTTTAATATAAAATAATAGGGTAGAAGGTGCTGCTTAGGGTAACTCCACTGCACTGAACATGTCAAATCCCCGTTATTGTAATGAAACAAGAGTGTTCCAAACATTCAACAATGATCTGTGCCGTTATTCACAACCTTTTCTGATGTTAAACAATCCAGTACAGACAGGGAAGCTGAGACTCAGACCAAGTTCACAGCCACTAAGGCTAAAACTCGAGGCTCTGGGCTCTTTTTACTGGTGGGACTAGTTCCTAAAACCTCCCTGAGGAGGAAAACTAAACGAGAGTCTTTAAATATAATTTCCACAAGGAATAGAGGGTGGAACACATCAGAAATCTCCAACGCTGGTGAAATAAGACTAATATTTCAGGATTTAGCAACAGGAAAAAAAAGTCAATTTCATTCTAAGCAAACATTTCGAGAAGCCTAGAATGGAATATTTGATACAGGTGGCCAGAACTCGGGATTACCTTGCTCTTTTCTAATCAAAACAAATATTTCATGAGCAAGTGCTATGCACAGGCACTTTGGTAACAGAAATAAGAAAGGCACAGGTAGATAAAACACTAACTACTTCACTGTCTCCTTCATCTGACACTGACTCATAGTTAAGGATTAAAGAAATGGACAGCTACCCAGAAGTAACAAGCTAGAAGAGCATCGGCTCACTTTCATTTTGAGATTCAGACCACCAAAGCAGGAGGTAGAGGAACATGTTTAAAAAGGAAAAGAAACACAAACTCTCTTGACACAGGTTGGAGTCAGTAAAAAAAGTCTAAGTCCAACAGGTGATTTAGGTACTAAAGAAAACTAATTTAGTGGATTACTTTTGATAAACTTTAACAGCAAAGCCCCTGGCAATTAAGAAAGCAAAATCAGCAAATAGGTTTCCTTGGAAAAGTATAGTCATTAACTCTGGGAGAATTACAAAGATTTAAATTAAATGGTGAATGGCAGCAGTTACATTATTATACATAACACCTTATTATATATAATACATAATATTTTAGATATTATATTCTACATATTATATATCATTTTATTACATATATTATATATTATTCAAAAATCACACAAATGCAATGTGTTTTCTGTGATGTGTTTCTAATTCTTAACTCTAAATCTATTTCTAGTAGGTTAATTTACCAATATACTAAAGTCTTCAAATAAATTTTTAGAGATATTACTGAATATCAAAGTAAGTTGAGCCTCTTAGTCTGTTCCCTTCTTTTTAAAGTTTCGCACAGGAGACACCTACTTGATGCGCTGTGTTGTACGCCCCTCCCACATGTCCTTTCAAGTCATGGCTGACAAATCAGTACTGAAAACATCAGTAATGCTTCCTAACTGACCACGCCCTCAGGAGCACAATAAACTGTGTGTGGTCCCAAGTAGTTATCAACCCTCTAGCAAGTGTGTCTTTCCAACTTGGTCCTGTTTAGCAGCGCCAAAAGACACAACAGCACAGTCCTTAGCATACACGAATCAAAAAAAATATTTGCTTCTTTAGTATAGCTTGAACCGTAAGAAACTGCCCGTATTGAATCTACAAAAAAGGCAAGTTCGTATGGATCAACCTCACATGTAAGGTAACAATATTTCTGTCCAAAGTCACTTTTGCAGTGACTGAGGTCTTCCCACAGTATTTAAAATTGCACACACACACACACACACACACACACCCTCAACTCTAGCACATCCTGTCCCCCATCCTTGCTATAACTTCCTAATTTTTACCTCCCATCCCTGCTTTCATCATTATTTGCTAACTTATCACAGTTTACTTATTTACTTTGTTTATTATTTCTCCCTCTCTGTTCCTCTAGTCCCACTAAACCTTAAACTCAGTGAGGGACTTTTATGTTTTCTATTCAGTGATGTTTCTCCAGCACCTGGAACAATGCCTGCTTTGTGGCAGATGTTCCACAATTATCTGTTGAATGACCAACAAAATAATGTCTAGCACATCGATATCCAGTTACTAGGATATCCTATTTATATAAATCAATAGAGTCACAAGGTAAATGTTTACTCTCATTTTAGTCAGGGGAATATGAAACGCAATACAAAAGCGTCACTAAGTTACCTTTTGCTCTTGTATCTGGGCCTTCACCACTTTGAACTCAGCTGATGGTGGTTTCTGATTGGCCACAAGCTCCTCGGTGTCCTGCATCCAGCTGAGCAGGGACTCCAGAGCATCCTGGAACCTCCCACAATGCAGCAGGGCCTCCTGGAGCTGGGCTGCTCGCTGGGCCACCTGCAAGGTTCCAGTGGTTTCAACTTATTGACTTGCTTAATAAAATAACAAAATTTACCCACCGGCCACCGCTTTTCATGTTTAACCTTCCCATTTAGTCACAAATCTTTTCCTTTTCATTTAAGATTTACCCAAAGCATTAATAGTGAGCAGAAAAGGGGTAAAAAGGAGTTTTACGTCAGCAAATGAGCTAAGAAGATAAGGTTACCGTCTTAAACAGCCAACGTAAAAGACAAAATCTTTGAGATTTGGGAAACATCCAAGGCCTTTATGATCAGCAATGAACGATTCAAGTATTTTAGAAACAACGCATTAGTCATTTTTATCATTATCCCTGAAATTAATTTTTATTTCCTACTGATGAATATCAGGGATAAAGATTAAAAAAAAACTAAGATTAAAATAATTAATATAACAGAGAGAATCAGAATTATGTTTTCCTAGGCAAAATGATTATAAAGTATCCAATTAAATTCTGCTAGCTCCGAGTCCTTTTTTCACAGACCAGGGGCTTTATCTTCTATTAAATGGAGTCTCTGTGTCCTACAAAGATATATTCTATTGTCCTTCTCATAGATCTTTTCCTTTTGGACTAAAAAAGTAGTTGGCAAGATATTTTAAGCACTAGGGAATATATTTTCACCTGACACTGCAGTCCAATAACATTTGAAGAACAGCACAATATAAATCAGACTTTAAAAAATGATAAATGTAGGTTTGAGACCTGGCAGTGCTTCAGATTTCAAGGCAGCAACTATTTATACAAGAACAATCACCACCACCACCAGACAAGCACTGTCATCCAGTAACGATTTTCTGATAATTTGTGTCATGTGAAGATCTGCCATTGTGTGTCAGTGTTATCTCCTTAATAGCAGAGCACTACTTTCCAGTGTTTTCCCTCACAGATCTTTTTTAAAAGGTGGGATCTATATCTGATGAGTAAAATAATATTTGGAATCTGTCGTCTCTAACGAGGGTGGCGAACCCTTAGTCCAGGGCTGACTTTCACTTGCACTGTGAAATTAGTTGCTGCCATTTGAAAATTAGAATATTTCACATAAAAAATGAGATTTCCAGGTTCTTTTGAACGTAAGCATTCTGTTTGGCAACAGTGAGCCTAGACCCTCAAAAGGCAATGACGTGCTGGAGCTAAGCAGCTCCTTTACCTTTAGAGGGGTGTGGGGTGTGCTCTCTCAACACAGGACGAGGTCATGGGCCACCGGCCATCACACCTACGCTACTGTGTTTCCGTCAAAGCTGAGATAATGACAGGGAGAGGCCCCATTTCACCAGCTTGTCTCTCCCTACTGAGCTCTGTGGGCTTCTGAGTTGGGGCCATCCAGTTTACAGCAATATTGAAAAGCAGGCCTATTTAGGGAAGTCTGGCTACTATCAATATGCTTAGTGGTCTCAACAAATGCTGGTGCATAATAAACAGCAGAAATGACAATGAAGGGCAGGAGAAAATTACCTTCTTATTGAGGGTCTTCCACCTTGCATTGACATCGTCCAGGTCATGCTCCAAACCCTCGGTGTTGGTACTTTTGGCAGCACTCTGAATCAGGCCTTGACCTAACCAGTTCACGTCCTGCTGCTTCACCTGCAAGGGTTCAATCTCCTCTTTCTGAAACACCTGCAGTTGGAAGAGCAATAATCATATGAATTATGTTAACTAGTAACCACCAAATATAAACATTTGTTCAATTATCAAGTACCAATTATTAAAGATAATTTTTGTTGACTATACATATGTCATAGTTGCCTTATTAGTAATAGTAAGAAATGAAACTAAATATAAATTTGTAACGTTTATTATTAAAACCATTCAGGAACATTAAAGAACGACCTTCTAAGTACATTTCATCAGATTACCTATAAAACCACGAAAATAGTACATGTGTCCTCTCTTTATTGCGTCATTATCATAGCACTAGAACTTTCCTACCATCCCAGTTTAACACTAGTAAAAAAAAAAAAAATGGTATGAAAAATGCTAAGGAGCAAAATGGTAAGATGGGCCCAAAATGAGCCCAGCTACCGTGCAAGGACTTTTACAGACTTCTAAGGATGGCTGCTGTTAGCTAGCCATGAAGTTTGAGACTCAAACTGGAAATAGGAATCACTGACCAGAGGATGAGGTGAGCCAAGAGGCCCAGCTCTGGCTTTCCAGAGGGGCCAAAATGCAGGGATTGGAGAAGAACAACGATATAGGCAGGCCCTGCAATCGTATGGATCTCTACACATCTAGCCCCCTCAATGTCTATCGAGAAGCCGATGGGCTTGCAAGAGGCATGGAGACCTCACCCCCAGATGATTACATGTATCACCAGCACAGCAACCCTGTGCTCTCTAGTCACTGCCTGCAGTGTCACAGCTTTCCAGCACAGTCCCCTTTTGACGTGCTGGTAGCTGTCAAAAGAGCTAATGTGTTAGAGTAAAAGGCAAGTTCCATGAAAGCAGAAATTCCCGTTTTCCTTATAGTAGTTAGTTTATGCCCTGAACCTATCACAGTACCTAACATGTGTTATGTACCCATTAACTATTTGCCAAATGAATATCAGTATAGAAAAAATTTTATATATATCATGGAGTGGGTGACATCTACCCCTCAACAGATAATACTGGGGGTAGGATCAACTCTTTCACAGATAGTACAAATGTTTTCTAAACAAGGCTTGAATGGTGCCATGGAGAAAATAAATTAATTTAACTAAGAAAGGAAAGTTTCAGCTAGATATTAAGATAAGACAAGGTTTGAGGCTCCAAGTCATTACACTATAGGGCACTATATAAATATATTAATAGTCCAACTGAATGAACAGTTAAAACAGAATATATGAAAACATAGTAAAGGCAAATATCAAAAGAGTACTTTAAAAAATTACAGACACAATATGGAAAATAATTTTGAATGATGTAGAGACAAACTCTCAGACTCTGGCCCAAGGCCTAGCATGCAGTATGCTCCTGGGTCATTGCATGAATGAGTAATAAATTAAGGAATAGCAAACAGATAACTGATCATTTCCTCTAAAAGTCCCCTCCTAGATAAAAGTCCAAATTTCTTCTACAGAAAATCGATATAGACCATTTCCACACTGGCTAATTGTTTCTGTATTACAATGCTAAACACAAAAACTCAACTACACATAACCAAAGAAATTATGAGAATTCTCCAAATCACTAAGGAAAAAAAAAACATCAGTTTTCACAATTTTTAAAAGGCAGTAATTTACCTAATAAGGCAAGAGAAAGTTGCAGCAAGGTAATGACAATAGAATTTGGTGTTGTATTATGATTCTATTTATTTTCTAGATCGCTTTCTAAGTTATAGCTTCTAGGAACTAATAGCTGTGGATATGTTCTACTACTTATAAAAAATGGAGGAGTGGGGGCTGCTACATTCTTAAGGCATATAAGGATTTGGGGAAAAGTTCTATTCTCCCTCTCACATAATTTTCAGGACAAAAAAAAAAACTAACATAATATTCTAATAACTACCTTAACCTCTGATCTTGATTTTAAAGAAACTAATTTTAGGGTTGTATATCATAGTAGGTCTAGGTGAGTCTGTGGTAATTTTCTGAAGTGCTATAAAAAATATACTAAGGGTTAAAAAAGATAAAACTACTTTAGAATCTACATACTCCTAGGAGTTTACTTCCTACAAATAAACTATAAAATCATTTACATTAAAAAAAATACTTTGCCAAACTTTTAAACCACTATGCCATTTAACTCATGCTCAAGGAAAGGGCATCACTGACTGAAGCAATTATTTCATAGGCTGAAAAGAGGAACTTTTCTGATATTGTCCGAATTCCTTATCTCTCAGTGGTAACAAAATATTTATCAAGAGCGACTCTCCCCCTAACCTAATCCATAAGCACACAAACACAGAGAAGCTTAAAATAAAATAAAATTACCTCTAAGACAAAGTTTACCAGAAGAGCTTAGTAAAAGTACCAAAATAGCTGAACTTCAATCTAAGTGGGAAGAAAAAAATTACAGGCTTGACAAACAACCTCTACTTATTACAAGGCTGCACCCTTTACTTTCTTACCTCATTCACCACTCACAAAAATAATCACAAAGAGTTAGGAGCTATAACGACTGCAAAATACAGCACAATAACTTCTGTACTTCCACATGCAGAGCTACTGAGAGAAAAATTTCAGCACATTTGAAAACGTCCTGAATTTGAGTAGAGTACTTCACAGACCACAACAATATAATGTTGTGTTTGTACCTTCGTGACTAAGCTTGTTCAAGCTTAATAAATCCAGTATAACTGCCCTTAAATGGCAGTGTCTGAAACCACAATGTGTGTAAAAGCCGAATGGGAACATAAATTCACAGTGGAGGCATTCTCAATGAAGGGAGACAGCCACCATCTGTACAATCAATAACACGACTCTAAACAGCTGGGAATAATCATTCTCCTCAAAAACGGTACCTAATTAATTGGTTATAATGATCCATGTATCAATACCTGGCATCTTGTAGGGAACTAGTGAAACCCCAAAATAAAAGACTGGATTTGATCCTCATGAGAAACACTAGTGTCCACTTTGAACAGAAACACAAACTTTTGGCACTGCCGAGTTTCCCGGTTTCATTAGTTAGTTACCTGAACTGACTGAAAGCCATTACAGACTGTGTCCAATATTCCTGCCTGGGCCCTTGCTTTTCTGGGAGCTGTTTTCTTTATTACAGGTATGAATTTCGGGGAGCACTTCATATGTATCATCTCCATCTCCTGGGCAGAAAGGGGAGCCTCCACTTCCTCTTTAGATGCTCTGTTGGATTCTTCCAAGTCGTGGCATCGTGTCAACAGTGTCACATTTTCTACTAACCTTGTGCTACCACAATCTACATCATGTCCCCCCAAATCTGAATGAGAGCGATCTAAATCCTCAGGAGAATCGTCCATAAATTCCCTACTTTGTACTATAATTTGGAATTCTCCTGGTCCATCTGTTTTCCCTTCTTCTCCAGGGTTAGGAACACCCTCGTGTTCTCTATCTCTTGGCATAATTAATGAGTCATACTTGACCATGCTCTCTTGCAAATCACTCTGCAGGGAGCAATTTTCACCATGGATTTCCCTTTGACCGTTTACACGTTTGGTTTCTTCTAGGGCAGAGACGTCATGTAAAATCATTTTGAAGTTGTCATCAGGGTGCGCACTTCTACAAGAAAGCAAGGGGATTTTCTGTTCGCTAGTGGAACTGACAGGGAAAAACGGTCTATACTGTTCTGCTATACGGATATCTTCAGCAGAAGACAAGCTTCTAATTCGTGACTGGTCTCCAGTTAAAATGCCCTGTTTTTCTTCCCTCTCAGCCGGAAGGCTACATAAGCCAGAGTCCTCCTCCTCCGACGTGAGAGAATTAGTCCCCCATCTGCACTTGCTGGCCTTGGTAACAGCATCTGACATATCAGTAGGTTCAACAAAAGAGCTTTCACTTTTGTTTGCATAATCCATAAAATTGGCTGGGACAAACATTCGCCATGACCGTCTATGCTCTTTCTTTTCTGCGTGAGATTTGGCTTTGGGTAATCCTGTGGTTCGAATGATATCGCTATTTAGTTTGAGCGCATCAAAGATCATCTTTTCATCTAGTTTGTTAGCTTCACGACCTCGCAGCTCAAACACACTGGAAGAAGCAAGGGCACCGTTGGAGCATAAAGAACTAACATCCAGTGTTCTGTGACTGTAGGGTAAAGTCCGGTCTGTGAAATGCCTGGAAGACAGGCTCCCTTTTGAACCAGAGTCTATCTGTTCATTTAGTCTAACAGTATCATAGATCGACCGCTGAGGGACATAGCAGTCTTCGATATTTAGATCCTCCTCTTCTTCACCCTTCCCTACACATGGGGGATTCTGGCGCAAGCAGTCTGGTCTGCTGAGTGGCTTCCCCATTTTGCAGAAAGTTAAAGCAAATAATGCAGCTCTTAACACAGAAAATCAGAAATAAGATAAAGCATCTTTCAAAAAAAGCATACTACTGAACAGAACTATAAAGTGTCTTTAGCATAAAGACACGTGCTCAGATAATGTACGTCGTAAATATATGAGGTCTTTAAGGTCATCATCAGTGCATCAGTCTAAATGCAACTATCCTTTTATCTGGTAGTTTTTAGAATGATTCTAAAAAATAAAGTGCATCAAGAACACAGAACAGAAATCTCCTTCCCCAGCCCCCAAAGTTCCCTTTCACATACTTCCAAACACAGAAAAACACACTCACACACACACTTAACAGTGGCTCAAACACTAGGAACATTCCATTGTCAGTCCATTTCCCTTTTTAGTCTAATTTTGCATCTGAGATTTCCAGATTAAAATTTCCAAATGAGCAAGCATTTTAACAGGCTGAATGTTAATTTAGGCAGAGCTCTGGTTAACTGTAATCCACTTAAAGATGGCTTGCAAAACTTCATCTCCTTTATAAATAAACCATGCTTTAGAAACTTAAAAGACAAACACCAGGACATGTATTGTTCAAATCAAGGCACAGAACAAATCTTCAGAGAAAAATAGGTCTAATGCTGTACGAAAGTTAAAATTTTCTTTTACTTTTTTGGGGCGTAGCTATAAATAATCTTGATTCAAAAGGCAGTTTTTCT